ATAAGGGACAGTTCCGGAAGACAGATGGGCAGCTAGACGCCTCCGGAGGAAAGCAGCGCGGTATTTCATAGAAAAAGGAAACCTATTCCGATGGACAGCAAATAAAGTAATATTGCGATGCTGCGACGAACCATAGGCCAAAAAAGTCATAGTAGAAACTCATAACGGAGCAGGCATAAATCACTCAGGAGGAAGAGCTTTAGCACTAAATATCAAGAAGAACGGTTTATTCTGGCCCAGGATGATCTAAGATTGTGAACAGTTCGCACTCCGGTGTGAACCATGCCAGAAATACGCTCCAGCCATTAATGCGCCTACCGAATTACTTCAGACTACCGTTCCGCCATATCACTTCATGAGGTTGGCAATGGACGCGATCGGCCCGATGCCCAAGTCAGGTCACAATCAGTGCATCCTGATAGTGACAGATTACTTTACAAAATGGGTCGAGGCTAAAGCCTACCACACTCTCAAGGGAATCGACGCACAGCTCTTCATTTGGGAGTATGTCATATGTTGACACGGCCTCCCATATGAAATCGTCACGGATAATGGCACTCCATTCACCTCGTCTGTTTTCCGAAGTTTCTGTGAAAAATAGGGGATACGCATAAGTTAATCGACACCATGTTGTTACCCACAGTGGACAACGGGCAAGCAGAAGCTTCCAATAAAATGATTCTCGACGGCATCAAAAAATGACTAAATGAACTAGAAGGACGATGGGCGGACGAGCTGGACGGAGTCCTCTGGTCCCATCGAACGACTCCACGAACTGCCACGGGAGAAACTCCTTTTTCACTATCTCACGGCTGCGAAGCTTTGGCACCTGCTGAATTGCATGTACCTAGTGCCTGGCGATCCTTGATGATTCGAGATCCTCAATTGAACGAAGAAAAACTAATCGACGCAGTCGACAATGCGGAAGAGCTTCGTGACAAATCCATATTGCGAATTCAGAATTACCAGCAGCAAGTTTCTATCGTATTACAACAAAAAAGTCCGAAGCCGACTATTCTCACTTCACGACCTCGTCTTACAGAGAACCATAAACCCATTAAAACTCGAGCCGAATTGGGAAGGACCATATCGCATTACAGAAGTCGTCAAACCCGGCGTCTATAGACTGGAAGATATGAAGGGCGAACCAGTCAAACGAGCTCGCAACTCTATGAATCTAAGAAAATATTATACTTGAAAGCCATAAACTAAGCAAAGAATGTACTACTAAGAACTATGGATGACTTGATCCCACTTCGGGTACGTAGGCAGCCTTCGGGTTCAGTCACTATCTTAATAAAATTACTTTCATAGAACTTTCTCAGCTCGGCAAAAAGAGCTATATGCGAATGCATCTTGCTGAATCGATGTTCTGGCCAAACATTCGATTCAACGAAAGCAAGCAAACTAAATTAGTGGCTGATCACCACTCATTTGACACTTCGGTTCGTTTTAATTACTTCCGAAGTAGATAAGATGAAAGCTGAGGACAATACTTGCACGACTCTCGATCATACCTTTCGGACCAAAGTAAATATCGAAAACTTGGTATTCGATCCTGAATGTCGTTTGGTATAAGATGAGCTAATGAATCTCGCATCCAGCACCGGCCTAAAAACGGCCACGCACCATAAGACAAAAGAAATTTTTTGACTTCGCAAAAACCTTAGAATTAAGATCTAAATCGTTAAAGACAAAGTACGAAACACAATAGGTAAATTTTTATACATTGATAAAAAGAAACGTCTTTGTCTTACAAAAAAAATGACACAAAAATAATTACAAAGCCCTACGCCGCTTCAGCATCTGAATCCCTGCTGCCACTAATTCTGCATCCGAAAATCGCATTTGAACACGCAAAGGCGCAGCAAAGTCGTTTGAGGAAATTGGAGCATCCTTCATATTGTGATGCTCCATCTTCAAACGGTCAGCCGCAGTGGAGTGAGTCAAGAACTTTTCAACCGGAATCTCATGCCCTGCCGACCTGAGCTGCTAATAGCAATCCACCCTCGCCTCGGCATCGACGATCCGAAGTTCCAGCCGATGAATATCAGGCTCTTGCGCCATAAATTTCTTGATATGCTTGATGCGAGGATCTTACCATTCACGAAGGCGCCGATACATTAAATCCACCACGCGATCAACCGAGACATGTTGGTGATCTCGAAACTCTTTTTCCTTAGCAGCCGCGTTCTTAACTTCCTCAGCCACCTTCTTCTCGAGACTCTCCTGGAGAAGTCTTATCTTTTTGGAAGATTCAATCTCAAGCGCCTTGTAGTCAAGCTCAAACTTGAGTTTCTCGCGCTCAAGATCCTTGATTTTCGCCAAAGCACCACGAAACTCTCGATCTTTTTTTGATAACTCCTCGGACCTATGCTCCTCCCAAATGGATTCTTTATCGTACGATTCGACCAAAGACGCGTATAAACCTAAACCCAGCATAAAACGTTACGCCATCCCAGAAAAATAAGCGAATCGCTTCAATTTCTCCACTGACATTCCTTGGTTAGGCTTCGCCCTACACAACCAAGCCAAATTCACTGCGAAGTATTCGTCGAATATTGCCGGAGAATCCCCGCCCCAACGAAGCAGGAATTCATGAGGATTGAAGTCAGGCTCATCACCTGTTTCCACCGGTTTTTCCGGTGAATGAACTTTCGGATCTGATGGACTAAAACCTTGCTCTTCGGTCGTCGCAAAAAAGCCCTCTTCTTCGATCGGCAAATCTACCCCTGAATCTGCTGAAGCTAACTGCTCCTTCACAGGATCTTGTGACGGACCTTCTGATCTAGGCCTCTTGCACGGAGAAAAAATAGGGATATCCACATCCAGCAAGGAAATTTTGCTTCTTTTCTTTAAACCCATTTCGCCTACAAAAATTGAAGAAAAATCGATGGATCAAATCGATGCAGAGAAGGAGATTTTCTAAAGCAAGAAGACGAAGAGGTAAAAATAAAGTAAATAAAAACCGGAAGAAATATCAACAGTTTCCTAAAAGGACGCGTGTCAGGATTTTTACAATCTCGCCGCTTGGCAAAACCCTTCGCATTTCCCCCTTAAAAGCAGAATACCTAATGGGCCAGAATATTAAAATATTTCTGAGGAAGCACCATGTGACATATCCAATTAAAATCGGGCCGAGCTGGCCGTCACAAAACGACAATCTAGACGAGCTGACAGCTATTGCAAAGTCAAACTCATCTCTAACTTCATGAAGTCCGCCGACCTGATTTACACTCAGGGGGGGGGGGGGGGGGGGGGGGGGGGGGGGGGGGGTTACTGTTAGAGGGGAAATGAACACATTTCCTAAAAGGCTTTCCCCGCAATAACCTAAGCCCATCAAGACCAAGAAGACCACGCCGACCTAGCTCGGATTTAAGGAAATCTCTTAAGGATAACGTTTGAAGACCGGAAACATCGAATTAATTCAAAGGATAAAGGAGAATTTCCTTACTCCTCGGAGAATAAAGGATATTTCCATATCTATGATATGGAAATATACGCAAAGACAAAAAGGAAAAGGAGTTCGGAGCAACCGACCTCCCATCCCTATAAATAAAGAGGACCCGGAAGCCAAGAAGATCATCAAATACATTCTAGAGAGCAATAGAGCAAAAACCAGAGACTCCAACGCTTTCTAGTTTACCATACAAACACCTTTTTCACTTCGGCATAACCTCACGGTTATCCCTTTCCTTGTAATCACTTCTCTTATTACTATTAATAAAAAGACTTTATTCTCCGAAACCCATAATTGTTAATCAAAACCGTAGTGGTGATTTTTCTGGTTGTTAGAGGGGAAATGAGCACATTTCCTAAAAGGCATTCCTCGCAATAACCTAAGCTCATCAAGACCAAGAAGACTGCGCCGACCTAGCTCGGATTTAAGGAAATCTCTTAAGGATAACTTTTGAAGACCGGAAACATCAGATTAATTCAAAAGATAAAGGAGAATTTCCTTACTCCTTGGAGAATAAAGAATATTTCCATATCTATGATATGTAAATATACGCAAAGATAAAAAGGAAAAGGAGTTCGGAGTAACCGACCTCCCATCCCTATAAATAAAGAGGACCCGAAAGCCAAGAAGATCATCAAATACATTCTAGAGAGCAATAGAGCAAAAACCAGAGACTCCAACGCTTTCTAGTTTACTTCACAAACACCTTTTTCGCTTCGGCATAACCTCACGGTTATCCCTTTCCTTGTAATCGCTTCGTTATTACTATTAATAAAAAGACTTTATTCTCCGAAACCCACAACTGTTAATCAAAACCCATCGCGTTAATCGTCTGAGCTTCAACAGAAGAAAATAGATCAATGCCTCTTCAACTTTATCAATTCGAGCAATCCTTCATATATACAAAACCATACCTTGTGAGCTAAACCGATGTGGAAAAGCTTTCTGGTAAAATGAAGTTTCCACGGAATCGAACTGCCGGTTCCAATTCACGGCTGCTTATCCTCTGTATCAATCCAAAACCTTCAAAAAAATAAACATAAGAAAGCTTTTTCAGTCATCCTTCCAATGTTATGTCTAAAAATCTCTCCAATAAGAATGAAAACTCACAAAGGTTCGAATTTGAACTTATCGAGAAGTCTGTCTTTAACCACTAAGTCCACACCAACACCTAGAAATGAAGAGTTCTCTTTCGCTGGCGATGAAAACTGCTACACCAGATGATTTCAGCGCCGTTGGTCTCGCTGAGCCTCTTCATGAGCTCGGTCACAAGAGCAACATGGCCAAGACAATATGTAGTCCCACGACTTCGAAGCTTATCGTCATCTATGGTTAGGGAGAAAGATTCAAATTCCTGTGAACAAACAACCAAAATCAAACAAGTGTAATTCTTCAAGACTCCAAATCAATCAAGCAGTAGAATCCAATAATCATAAAATAAAAGAAATTGATGTTACTGATACTTCACAGTAATCAATTAAGAGTTAAAAGGAGAGAAATGACTGAAAATTTTGATTATTTGACATTATTTCTTCACAAAATGGAATCAGTGAAACCCTGTTACTCGATAATCATAGTGTAACTCTTCACCAATTTTAATCAACACACTAAAACTTAGTTTTAAAAGTTAGTATACGAAAGAAAAAATATCAGTATCGCTGATATTTATAGTGCTTGAATTTTAGATACCGATTAAACTTTAGAGTACATAAAAGAAGAGAAAGATTTGAATTTTATTTTTGACTTTTTAATGAGTTTGGCAAACAATGAATGATTGAATTTTTAATGGGTTTGGATAAAAAAAGTTAACAAAAATTAGTATATAATATGTATTATTAAAATATTTTGATGGGTGATTTTTTTTGCTGAAGTGGTAGCTTTAGAAAGTTTGAAAAAAATTGATATCAAATTATGGAGAGATACGAGAGTTATTGTTGTGTTGATTGATGTTAAAAAATTTACACATGAGTTTATAACTTTTTTTTTCTATACAGAAACATTATTTATTATCCAATTAATAATAATTTAACCAATGATCAAAATGATTTAAAATACAAATGGTCAAAAACAGGAAAAAAATATTTGCACTGAAAATATAAAATATTATTTTAAATTAAACAAAAATTGATAGCTAAATCATAGAGAAGGAGTATTCTATACATTAATATTCTTTCCTAAATATAGGACTTAAGCATTTAAACTTTGAAAATATCTTAATGCATTATTAGTTAAGAAATGACAAATATTAGGAAGAAAATAATGAAAAACAAAAGAGGGAGAAATTGTTTCCTTACAATTAGTATAAATAGTCTCTAAAAACAAACAACTCAAAATCATTATTACAATAAGAAAAAAGAGTACAAACACAATAGAAAATGGTGAAATCAGCATTGATATTCATTGGTATTCTACTCTTTTCAACATGTGAGTTTAGAACAATTTTTTCCCTCAATTTTTCTCATCCTTCTCATTATAATCTAAAATATAATTTATTACAGGTACACCAATTCTGGCACGAACCGGTTATCAATCTTGCACGAAGGACTCTGATTGTGCTAGACTCAAATGTCCATCTCCACTAGGACACCCCACGTGCGTGCATGGTGGTTGTGAATGCCCCTTGGAAGAACACGTGACAGTGACACTACCCGAAGATACCAATTGTGGTGTGGCAGCTTGCAATTGACTATTGCGCAGCTAGAGGCGAAAAAGCTTATGCTTGTCTTCTGAACCATTGTTACTGTTGCAAACCTCCCATGTAGTTTGAAAAAATAATTTCCATTCTATTTATAATAAAATCAAGTTCTTTCAACTATCGAATTCTTGTTTTAGAAAATATTACAAGTGTCTCTCCTAGAGATGACAGCTCAGCTTTTTCATGTTTTATAAACATCACACCTCAGTAAAAATAATCATCAATCAAAATATTTTATTAATACAACTCATCTACTTATTTTGATTTTTAAATTTAAACCTATTAAAAATCCAAATATTTTTTTTATTAATTTCTGTTTTTTTTTTACCAAACTCAAGCCCAACTAATTAATAATAGCAAATAAAAAAATATTTTATTTTTTGTCAAATTCAAACCTAAATAACAATTAAAAAAAATAAAAAAAAATAAATGTTTGTTTTCTTTTTTCGCCAAACCCAAATCTAAATAATAAATAACAGCAAATTAACAATAAATTTTTTCTCTAGCTATCTGTTTATTTGACATAGACGTATATGATTGAAAAAAGTGTAGGCTCATCATCAACTATGTTTCCATGACAACAACGCAAAAAGTATTATGTTATAAGAAGCTCACACATCAGCAAAAATTTAAACAGATAAAAATATAACAATTTCTTAGGTTTTGCGGGAAAAAAAAATTCACGAGGGATAATACAATTTTTGATTTTGGCGGAAAATTTTAGTTTATCTGTTTTAGTAGGAAAGCGTAATTCTTGGTTTGACAAGAAAATGATTTTTTTTTGTTTTGGCAGGAATAGACGATTTCTCAGTTTTTGCAAGTAAATAAATTTTTCGGTTTTGACGGAAAAATACAATTTTTTTATTTCTGTAGAAAGATGAAATTTTTTGATTTTTTTGAAAAAACGTAATTTCTCGATTTTGGTGGAAAAACACAGGTTCTCACGGGAAAATAAAATTTTATGTTTTAGGTTGGACGAGAAAATGAATTTTTTTGGTTTAGGCGGAGATAGGCGATTTCTCAATTTAATAGAAAAATGTAGTTTTTTGTTTTGACAGAAAATACGATTTCTCGATTTTTGTAAGAAGATAAAATTTATCTATGCTAAATTTCCAAGTTAAAGTATATTTACAGTAACCAAAATTTAATTATTTAACTTTAGCAAAAACGATATTTCAACAATTCAAACAGAATTTTCTTTTTAGTTTTAAAGCAATATATTTTACTAATATTGTGGTTATGTACTTTTATCTAAAAGCAAATCATTTTTTTCATTAGTGTAAGACAAAATATGATTTTATCTTCTCCAATTTATATTCAACGTTCAACAATTCATTTCTTCCTGTTTAGTAATAAAATTCTATTCATGTACCTATCTGTTGATGACTTTCAAACTTACCTAGGATCTTCAAACTGAAAAGAAATTAGGATTTTTACCTAAAAAAGAAATACAAACATTGACCAATAAAACGGTCAATAGAAAGAAAAAAAAATTCTTAGCACTATAAATTACCTTCATACTTTCACGTTAGTCAAATAAATAATTCAAAATCACCAGAAAAAGACAAAATTTATTCAGTAAAAATGGAAAAAGCAACATTGATATTCATCGGCTTTATACTTTTCTCAACATGTATGTTTTTATAATCATATTTTAGTTATTCATCACATTGTAAATTTGCGATAGTTATTGATTTATTAGCATCATGATGACCATATTGTCTCTCTTACAGGCACTCAAATTCTAGCACAGTCTTGCAAAAAGGACACTGATTGTATTCATCTGAAATGTGTAACAAAGATCAAATGTGTGGAAAACAAATGTAAATGCATTAATGAAAAATATGCGTTTAAACCATTTGATACGTCCTGTGGTGTTGCTGCTTGCATTGACTTGTGCAAGGCCAAAGGCGAACAAGCTTATGCGTGTATCTTAAACCATTGTTACTGTCGCAAACCTCCTATGTAATAATTAAGTAACTACAAGCTTAAATCATTGTATTTGCTTGCATCATCTTCAAATGTTGTAATTTCACAATTTTTCCATGTAATACTTTTACTATTTTATTCTTTTCTATCAAGAGCCAAACAATAAAATATTAGATATTAAACTTTTAATTTTACAGATTTTATAAAACTATTTAGAATCATTTTTATAATTAAACTAGTGTTTTGTCTATGCTACGCGTAGGTTGTATAGTTATATTGTAGTTTTATAAAAAGTTGTCAATTAATTTTATGTTTAATATTGTAATAAATTATAGAGTAGTATATTTGCATGTGATTCTTAGATATAATCGAGCGAAGTAAGTATCAGAAGGATGTATATATATATGTGAAAAGATGATCGAAATTTTTGTATAATAATTTGAAAGTAGATTAATATACCTTTTGGCTTAGTTAAACTTTTTTTAAGAGTTAATGCATATTTTTGCAAATATGAAGGGTAAAGTTTGACATTTTTGTATAATAATTTGATTTGTAATTTTGTTATATTTTTTGTTTATGTAAATAATATCCACATGAACTATATATTATATTAGAAATATATTGTCTAAATTTGGACAGCTTATGTTATAATACTATTTTTTTAGTGAACACCATAAGTATTTGTTTATACTTTCAAAAATATTTTGCATAAGCTTCCCTTTCGCATGATGCTTTTAAAAAGAAAAACTCAATCTTTACTCCATTTTTGTTTCATATTGTGTATTAGGATTTTGTTTTTAGTTTTCATATAGTATGCATTTCTCTACTTATCAATTTTTAAGATTCAGTATGTACATAGATGTTTTATAATTAGTTCATATATTCAACGAAGAAAACAAATGGCAATTAATAATAAACTTTTTTATTATATGAGTTCTTTATTAATTGATATAATATTTGTTTGATAGTTTAGCTAGCTCAATCATTTGCCAATATTGGTGAAGAGTGTGGAATTTATCGTTATATGTTATTTGAAATTTTTTTTTTTTTAGTTTTATGTTTCATGAAATTTTGCAAATAAAAATTAAGAAACGGTGAGTAACTGTCTTTAATCACCGGTTCTTTAGTTAGGTTTTTACTTCAGTTTTTTTACAATATTAGATTACAACGAACAATATGGAACTCTATATCAGCTTTAGAAACTTGAAATCTGTTATAAGTCAAAAAGTTACAATTGTATAAATTAATTTTCTCTAGACGGAAGAAAACTGAGTCGCTCCTTAAGTTTTACTTTTGGCGAGAAATACGTTCTCCAGTTCCAACAATACTATGATTCAGACTCATTCTACTTGATTCACATTATAAATATAAATGCAAAACAGTTGCGAGATTGTATTTTTATGTTGCTTACAACAATCTCAAGCATGAGACACATTAGACTTCATTTGTGATAGAGTTGTGTATTATTTATATCATATGTGGCTCATCGCTATGTCTTTTTTTTTTACATCCTCATTACTATGTCTTTTGGATTTCTAAATATTTATGCTCCACTTGTTTAAGTTTTATTGTTTATCACCAGTTTGGTTGTCATTAATTAATAAGTAAAATTTGTGTTTGGTGACGGCTGATTCCATTTCTGGTGAGTCAGAGGTGAGATGATTGGAAACCAAGAAGACGATGACTCCATAAAATAAGCTTTTGTTTAAGCTTTATAATTGAGTTTTAGTGTAATTTGTTTTCAGTTTTTTTAGCTTTGTTTTTTTTATTGAGAATTTAAAAATTACAAAAGCTTTTTTAGGTAAAATTTGAAGAAATTTTGATTAATAAATGATTTAATAAAATGGCTTTAAATTATTGGTTGGAGAAGATGATATGACAGTTTTGAAATCTACCATTGGTTAATTATTTTTGCTGATGTGGTATATTGTCTTATTCTTATTGGTTAGTTTTTTTTATAATTTAACGATGTGGCAATTTGTTATATTCTTATTGATTGATTATTTTTGCCTATGTGGCACCCCTTAGAGAGCAGGAAATCTATCCCTTTATAATTGAGTTTTAGTGTAATTTATTTTCAGTTTTTTTTAGCTTTGTTTTTTTTATTGAGAATTTAAAAATTACAAAAGCTTTTTTTAGGTAAAATTTGAAAAATTTTTGATTAATAAATGATTTAATAAAATGGCTTTAAATTATTGGTTGGAGAAGATGACATGACAGTTTTGAAATCTACCATTGGTTAATTATTTTTGGTGATGTGGTATATTGTCTTATTCTTATGAGGGAATTGCTGAATATGACTCAAAACTTGAGTTGAAATGCAAAACTAGACCTCCTATTGCATGTTTGACAAAAATAACTCACAGTGGTAGTGAAATTACAACTTTAACCCTTATGACCAAACAAAAAAATGCCAACCTCAATTACTATTTTATCACAGAGAAGTCTACTCGAGAAGTTAAGTAGACTTCTCCAAGAAGTCTACTCTTTAATAATATGTTTACGATTAATTTTAAAAATCATAAAAGATAATTTGATAAAAAAAATAGATACATAACAACAAATATATACTTTTTTACACCTATTAAAAATAAAATTTGATAGAAAATAATCAATTTAAATCATCATAGATAAATTATGATAAAAATCAATACTAAGAAACTTCTCGAGTAAACTTCTTGGAGAAGTCTACTTACACGAATTTTTTTCTACATATATAAGAAGAGTTTAACCTAATTGTATTAACAATAAAGTCTCTCTCTATCTAAAGAGCCACCTCTCTCTCTCTTCTCCCTTCTCTCTGGCCATGAATTTCTTCTCCTTCCTCTCTTGCTATCAATATTCTCTCCATCCTCTCTATCTTGCATTCAACCTCCTCTCATTTGCAGGTTATGGTAGTGGTAAGCAAATCTGAGCTTTTGTGTTCTTCTTTTTGTTTGCTTTGTGTTCATATTGCAAATCTGAGCTTATTATTATAGATTTGAGCTTATTGTTGTAGATCTAAGTTTATTTTTGTAGATATGAGTTTATTGTTGTATAAATTTTGTAGATTTTGTTAATTTTTTGTTATTATTGCAAAGCTGAATTTTGTTGATTTTTGTACAGATCTGAATGTTATAAATATAGTAGATTATTATTATAGATCCGAGCTTATTAGTTTAGATTTGAGCTTATTGTTGTAGATCTAAGTTTATATTTGTAGATCTGAGTTTATTGTTGTATAAATTTATTAGATTTTGTTCTAGATCTAAATTTTTCGTTATTGTTACAGAGCTGAATTTTGTTAATTTTTTCTACAGATCTCAATGTAGACTTTTCGAGTAGACTTCTCGATCTCGAGCAGACTTCTCGAGTAGACTTCTCGATCTTGAGCAGACTTCTCAAGCAGACTTCAGTTGCATACATAATTTTCAGAGATTTTAGTTTACTAGTAATTTCTTATGCCAGTTTTAAGATTTATAACTAGTGATCCTTAAATGTTTGTTTGTTTAGAGGGTTATTTTCTATGTAATGTTGAATTGCATTGAATGTTTTGTATCAAATTCCTAAATTATCTATGTTTATCTATTCTACAAAATAGACTTCTCCTGTCTCGAGTAGACTTCTTAAAGACATTAACTTTACATAACTTATAAGTGATTCAGAGAGACATTTCTCCCATTTATATCATATAACTTGTCAACCGAGTAGACTTCTCTTGTCTCGAATAGACTTCTCCTGTCTCGAGTAGACTTCTCATGTCTCGAGTAGACTTCTACAAGACATTAATTTTACATAACTTAAAAGTGATTCAGAGGGACATTTCTCTCATTTATATCATATAACTTATCAACCGAGTAGACTTCTCTTGTCTCGAGTAGACTTCTGAAGTAGACTTCTCATTGTCTCGAGTAGACTTCTTAAAGAAATTAATTTTACATAACTTAAAGGTGACAACATTCGCCCTCCTTTGCTATTCGCCCTCTTTTGCCAACATTCACCAAGAAGCTCACCATGTGTGCAACCATCTGTTAAGAACAACATTTGCCCTTCTTTGCTATTATCCACCTCAAACTGCCACACTGATTCACTCTTAACCCATTCTCCATAAACAACGGGTATGTGAGCCATTCTCTGTGAAAAAGAACAAAATCCAAACCACATTAGACATCAAAATTGCATAAGTAGACTTCTCTGAAAGTCGGATAAAGTCTACATAGTAGACTTCTAGAGTAGACTAAGAAGTCTACTCTTAATAAGCTAAGTATCATATAAAACATGAAAACTCATTCGACTATACTTATAAAATATAAACATGCAAAACTTATACATAAGCAAGAAAACTTAATAACATAAGCTTAGGATCGCGAAAATCTTAAAAATTCATTATATATTGTATAAAAATGATTTTTTTTTAAAACAAGAAAAGTAGACTTCTCGGATAAAAGTAGACTTCTCGCAGGTTAGTTTTGCAATTGCCAAAATATTAGTAGACTTCTCTATGAAAAGTAGACTTCTCCGAGAAGTCTACTTCTGTAAGTAGACTTCTCGCAGGTTATTTTTGCAATTGACCAAAAAGTCAAATATTTTTCAATTGCAAAAATGACCTGCGAGAAGTCTACTTACGAAAGTAGACTTCTCGGAGAAGTCTACTTTGCATAGAGAAGTCTACTCTACAAAGTCAAAGGTTGGTCAATTGCAAAAATGACCTGCTTCTAAAGAAGTCTACTCGAGAAGTCTACTCCATTTTTTCTGTTATCAAAGGAAATGGAGTAGACTTCATTCGGACCAAAAGAAATCTACTTTTTCATGCGGTCAATTGCAAAACTAACCTGGGCGTTGACTAGTAGACTTCATTCGGACCAAGAGAAGTCTACTTTCTGAGCATTTTCGTAAATAAGTGAGGAAGATGAGGATTAGTTGGTCATTTGGATTTCCGAAAATAAAAGAAATTAATTAAAAATAATGGCAATTTCGTGAATAACTGAAACTATGAAGGATTGTTTGGACACAAAATGGCAAATGTTGGGAAGGTAATTATTGTGGGTTAGATTTGCAATTCAAATCAAATTTTAGATCATTTTTGCAAGAATCCCTATTCTTATTGGTTAGTTTTATTTATAATTTAACGATGTGGCAATTTGTTATATTCTTAATGGCTGATTATTTTTGCCTATGTGGCATCCCTTAGAGAGCAGGAAATCTATCCCTTCATAATTGAGTTTTAGTGTAATTCG